TAATTTTTCCTACTTTTGTGCTATTTCTCAGAGATTCGTAGTCGATAATAAATTATCACACCAAATTTTCTTCTGAAACATCTAATAACGTAAACAATTTTAATTATACTGCGCATGCCTAAAGTAATGCATTTAGGAAGATTTATACGTCAGTAGCCTCATAAATAGTTCGGAATTGTTGACAATAAAAGAAAGACGAGCAGGCAAATAAAGAAGAAAACGAGAAACTGAAAAAATACTGTAATCTTTTAAGTTCGTTTTTGAAAGAAAAAGAAATGATAGGAATAGAAAATAAAACTAAAATAAAACGTAATGATAAATGACTGGTAGAAGATGATGCAAAAGAAAAGAAGAGAAATTATTAAAATCAAGAAAATTAATTAATAAACCATTAAATAAAAAGTATCCCAACATTCTAACATGGCGTGAACATAAAAATGATGAACAAGGCGATGATGAAAAAGAATGAATTTTAGTATTAATATCAAATAAAAGACAACATCATAGACACTTTTTGTGTAAAGATATCCATGTATGTATGTGTGTGTATGGGAGAGCAATACCACACAGGAAAGCAAACAGCTGGAACTCAGAACTAACTATATTTGGATAGATAGATAGATAGATAGATAGATAGATAGATAGATAGATAGATAGATATGAAAAGGACGGATAGATAGATAGATAGATAGATAGATAGATAGATATGAAAAGGACGGATAGATAGATAGATAGATAGATAGATAGATAGATAGATAGATAGATAGATATGAAAAGGACGGATAGATAGATAGATAGATAGATAGATAGATAGATAGATAGATAGATAGATATGAAAAGGACGGATAGATAGATAGATAGATAGATAGATAGATAGATATAGATAGATAGATAAGATATGAAAAGGACGAAGATAGATAGATAGATATGAAAGACGAAGATAGATAGATGAATATGAAAAGGACATAGATAGATAGATAGATAGATAGATAGATAGATAGATAGATAGATAGATAGATAGATATAAAAAGGACGAAGATAGATAGATATATGAAAGGACGAAGATAGATAGATAGATATGATAGATAGATAGATAGATAGATAGATATGAAAAGGACGGAGATAGATATAGATAGATAGATAGATAGATAGATAGATAGATAGATAGATATGAAAAGGACGGATAGATAGATAGATAGATAGATAGATAGATAGATAGATAGATAGATATGAAAAGGACGGATAGATAGATAGATAGATAGATAGATAGATAGATAGATAGATAGATAGATGTACAGATGCACAGTTAGACGAATATATACGCGGACATTGATATAAAGGAATAAATATATTAACAGAATAAAGAGATATAAATAAACTGGGATGGGCTTGTAAATAAGTTGTGCGAGATTATAAAGACCTCGGAACTTGTCTAGAAAAGAAGATTATAATGCAGACAACAGAGTTAGCTAGTGAACGAGATGTAAATGGTAATAGTAATATTAGCCGTTTCCTTATAAGGGAACATTCGTTGGCCTGTCAGCCTGTACTATTGTCGATTGAAATTTATAAAATCTTTCTCTTTACATCTTTAAATTTTTCATAAAATGGGAAAATGGTTTTCTCAAGTCCAGTAGTTGTTATCACTCTTCCCAGTAGGCTCCCTTTCTAAGCTTTTTTTTTAAAGTAGTGTGGAATGTCAGCGTCTCGATTATGCCATTAATTTCTCTTTGAGTTCCATGTGGTATATCAATTTACGATAAATGTCTATGACAAATAAAAGTACCTGGTAAATAAAGAAACTATCCAATATTGTAAGCAGAATGAGGTCGGCATTTAGCAAAGGAGGGAAATTCGTAATTGCCGTGGTTCACTTGGTAGATGAATTCACGCTTGTTCGAAAATAAAAAAAAGAAATGTCGGGAACAAGTTCATTTAGAATTTGTGAATATCCGAGATAAAATTTACATAATATGTTTCAGATTCCAAAGATCCAAATGATTTTCATTTTGAACTGTGTAGTTACTTTGGCATCCATAAAGAAAGGAGGGTGATTAAAGGAAATGCCTTTAAGAAACATACAATTAATTGTTTCCTTTATTCATATTTTATTTAGAAAATTCTGAGTGTGGTGGCTCATTGCAATTTTTACTTGTACTAATGAAGTTGCGGAGAGATCAGTTGGAAACCACGCTTTTTTGTTTCCCAAGAATAAACATGGCAATCTACAGTTTACAGATATTAAAGAAAGAACGCTGTGATGAGCTATGATCATATTTCTTTTAAACAATTCGCCCCCAATCATGGCGATAATGCTACTGTAACGCAATGGGTTACTGGGAGTGTAAGAAAATGAGAAGAATTTAGAATGAACCAGAAACCCAATCCTAAGCATGGGCCATGGGATAAACCTATACAAAAAGACTGGGCAGGAGTATGAATCGGGAGACAAACGAATCGATCTACTCCTACGTTCTAAAGGGTCATGGCGTTTAAAAATGAATCTACAGAAGACTCAGAGATAACGCGTCTAAGAGAAATACTCATACCGAGTATATTTTCCTTTCTGTTCGACAGATTTTCTCATTAAAATACTGATCTGAATTTTTACTCTAAACAGGTAAAGACTGGTTGACAGGAATCAACAAATCAATAAAGAAAAATATGCAAAAACCAGAAAATGGAGAAGAAAAGAAAATAAAGAATATAAGTCTGTTTCTGTATTTTTACCGCTGTTTTACATTTAGAACTTTTTTGTATACAAACAATTTTCTATACAGCGTTGAGAATGTATCTGAATACAAGTTATACCGCGTTTTTTCTTGCTTTTCTTTCCAAGGTTGGTGTTTAGCAGAGATTCTTTATAATAGCATTGAAAAATTGCAAGAAGATATGTGTACTTTTCGTTTTTTCTTGATTTTACAATATTTTTTTATGTTTATAGGTCATTACAGCTGTATACAAAATGATTTTCTATACAGCTTAGTAAATGCATGAGAATGACATTGTAAATCAAGTTTTTTAATGACATATGGAGTTTTATCGTTCTATAAAAGTGATTTTTTTTACTTTAAGACGGAAGTTAAAACGTTCTCTTCTGATCCTTCCTTTCCATATAACACTGTCCTGTTTTAAATAAACGACGGAATTATGTAAAAGGAAAATTTCGGGTATAAAAAGCGAGAAAAACGAAAATAATATCATTGCCAAGCATATAACTTTCTGACGTAACAAATTATATAAAATTGAAAACATTTAATTTTTATATGTTGTTTTTTTAATTTTTGGAAATCATGCTTGAATAAATTATTTCCCTTGAAATGTACGTACTAGTTTTGTGATAAATATTTGATAAATATAATCCAATTGAAACTAGGACTTGTTTGGCCAATATAACCAGAAATAAGCCGCTTGAAGATAATCATTCTTCCAATGTCGGAAAACTCTTGGGCACCAGCGTTCTTCATTGTTGCCAGTAACTTCTCTCATTACTTGGTAAGTATTTTGTTTGGAACGCCTCAGGGTAGCAAATAGATTTCTTGATTCACATCAGGAAACTAGATCCATTTAGTTGAAGCCATAACATTTACTCCCCACCATCTATGTAAATAGCAGATTATCCCGTAAAAAACATTGGTATTATCGGGTTTCTTGGCTTATTTCTGAAACGTTGTTTTTAGTATTTGCACACCATTTGGGTCGAACCTATTAAGAAAGATGTGTACCTTCAGACATATATATTTATATACTTCTCAACATTAACACACAGAAATGTATATGCATCTATCTGTCGCGAACACAAATTCGCACTCACAAGGACACACATATACAGGCGCTGGAACAATAAAAGATATCAATAGAAAGTAAAAAGAATTGAATATTTCTCACATGCTTTGCGCTCTCGGCTCATAAACCGATCGGCAATAATACGCTACCATAATGTTCTTCAATTCTTACGTAGTCATTTTCTTACACAAAACTATCCACAAATTGTTAACCTTCTTCTTTTCATGAATACCAAGACAACTACTACTTCTATCAGCCGTGTCCCTTCATGACGTGAGCGAGCATCTCTCTCTCTCTCTCTCTCTCTCTCTCTCTCCGCGGCTTCCTGTCCTTTGTAGCTCTTAGTAAAGATTGTCTTTTTTTCTGTCTCTCCTAATCTGCGTTCTTCCAAACATTTATCGGAACTCATTAGGTCGGTAATTTGCTTTATTTTCCGCTGCCTTCCGAATATGCCTTCATTATGTGACTGGAAATTTTACCTGTTTATTTATGATTCAAAGTAGAAGCATCTTTTTAGTTTTTGTTTTCATTGTCCTTAAAATTTTCTCGTTATTCACATGGTCAATCCATGGGATACTCAGCATCCTTCTGTAGAACCAAATTTCTGTTGTCTCAAGCCTCTTCTTCATCTTCGAGAAGATTGTCCAGCATTCATTGCCATATATGAAGATTAATATTACATAACAGTTCAGTAATTTTTTCTTTGTTGCTAATTAATTTTTTTTCTGTTTCCTTTTCTAAAACATTTTCAGATACACACACACACCACTCACAATTAATATAATTTAATTTTTGCACGCGCGGAAATCTCTAAGCAGATGTAAAATTTTGGCGTGGTATATTGATCTGCTCGTAAAAAAATGTTCGATACACCCACATGCTAAAATGAGTATGCAATTTACCGTTCATACCCTAACCAATTACACAAGATCAACGTACTGAAGGAATGATTTTCGTGTACATTAATCAAAGCAAGTGGACAAATTCCATCACCACAGTTTGATAATATTTACATATCCAGTGACATGCACAATATTATGATGATATATTCGTATACTTATAGTAAAGAGTTCTGACTGTGTATTGTTATCATTACTATATAAACAAACTATTGACCTAAAACATCAAGTCCCTAAATATCTTAAATAGCAACGTCACATCTAAGTTTTCGTATCCTCGTCCTATCTATATTTCATATGGATGTCATATATGGCGTTTGACTAAAAGCAGGCTCATCTGTATACAAGCGGTATCTCATATAAATTATTTCAAACGAGTCAGTCTTTCAAATCTGTTCGATAGAAAGCCATTCTCAATTTTCGAGAGACAGCACTCTAGATTTTCGCTCAGTCAGTTATGAGTTATGCGGGATACACGCTTAGGCGATCATGTATCTTTCAATACATGACTCACAAAGCAGATTTTGTCCTGCAGTAGGAAACCTACATTACTTTCTATAGCCATCTAAGTCTATAAAACCCAATCTGTCCTGTTATTTACCAGAAGGGGTGAAGAAGAGGATTCATACCTTTCCCAAGGGTATTAGCACGTAAGTGAATGTGATGGATTCGACTGGAATTTGAACTCGGCTCTCCGATTCCTAAATTCGAACCGCTATCTATTACTCCACTGTGCCTCCACCTTTCGCTACTAAATAATAAACGAAGGACATTACCAAATAGCAAAATCTACCGCAGTTAAACACTTTCAAGAGCAGCAACAGCAAAAAAGATAGCATATGTAACTAAAAGAGAAAATAATGATATATTTAAGATGTTAATTTTACAAACATATTAAAAACAAAAATAATTGAATAAACAATTAATTTTTAAAAAAGAACCATAACATTTAGTGGACTTGCGAAGTTTTCTTTGATTTAATAAAGATATATAAAATTGAACGGACAGCATCACAACATCTTCACTCAATAAATGCCGACCGTTTCCTATAGAGAAAGAGGACATTTCACTATAACCATTGCAAAAGGTCAAACTCTAAGAGGTGATTTCTAACAGCCAAAATGTATGTTTAGACATAGGTCACTTATTTTCTGTTCTCTCGAAAATATGAATCGTCTGACATTTAACATTGAGCTACTTTCTATTGAAATTAGGTTTTCTGAGTTGATAAATGCATATCAAAACGTACCTGAATTGGAATGGATGGTTTCCTTGAAATGAAGGAATATGACGTGGACATAAGAGCAAAATCAATCTACGCTCTTGTACATATGTCCCTTCTTGTCAGCACTGAGAAGCCTCAAGTGCCCGCATTATTCAAGTATTCATATAAATAATAGATCACGAAATATTATGTTCTCCCATCCCAAAATACACGCTCATATACAGACAGTGAATATAGATCAATTCATTCATACAGGAAGACTGGATTGAACTTGTGCCTGAATACAATTCTTGTTCAAGATTAAATATGCAAGTATATACATATGTTGAAACATTAATCATTTAACTAATAAAAGCAGGCAACAGCAGGATATTTCTAATAACAGATTCCAACTGCGCCGTAATCAAAAATCATGACATCACCTTTCCGATACTGAATTTGCTTAGATTTAATTTTTTTTTAAAAAAAAAGAAGATATTGCGTCTTCCTTTAAAGGTCGTAAGACCTTTTCTTTAATATATTATCAATATATTGGCAGACAACTCATTGATTTTTATCTAAAGCAATCCTAAATGTTAAGACTTGGAATGTTAGTACAAGGAATTATTTGACAGCACAATAAATATTTAATCTAATTTTAAACTAATGCAAAATGTCAGTTACCAAAGAAACGAATATTTTAATCATGCCATGTTTTTTTTCTAAAATTAAATGAACCAGATTTAGCAGGCAGATGAACGACAATAAGCTTGCGAATGATGAAATAGTTTGTGTTAGTTACACTGTCAAATTTTATTATGCATGTCAATGTTTTAGCAATAAAAGTGGCCTTAAGCAACCGCTGTTGGTAGAATTTTCAGGTTTATATATACACTATAGACCAAACGTTTGAGGAACACTCTGGATTTAATAAGTTAATAAGTTTCATACCTGCTTATGTTTAATTAATTCCTACGAAATTAGGATTGTTAAACTATTTAATCCATTAGTGAATGGTGTCCAATTGAGAGGGTTTAATTAAAATCGAAAATCCACAACCTCGAATCAGTCATCAATGTGGCTTAGGCAAAAGGAGCTGATATTTTAAAGAAACTTCATACAGTAATGGATTAATTTCATAATTATTATTAATATTATTAATTATATTATTACCGAATAAAACCGTTCAAGAAGAAAAAATCCCTCTGGTCCGAACTGAGTAAATTACTTTTGAAAAATATACACAACTTTCAAATTTTAAGCCATTCTTCAAGTGTGTGTGAGTAGGAGTATGTGGGCGAATAATATTATACGGAATTCAGTTTGAAATATTTGATTTCATTAGAAATATTACCAATGATTTGTTTGATCGTTTGATTGAGTGTTCATCATATTGTAATAAATATATTGTAAATTGTAATATGATATCATAATTACCAATATTCATTTTTTTGATTTTCTACACAGTAAGTCTCCGGGTTATTCGACCTACGATGATTTGTGGCTGCGACGCAATTTTCATTAATCTTATTTTGACTTATGCTGTTTACCTCGTACATACGATGCAAACGGTGTAGCGGAAGAATACGTGGTTGCAGCGGAAGAATACATTGAGTGTCAGAAGGATATATGCACGTATTATATTTATGTCCTCCATGTGTTTTTTGTGCTAATTATGTTAATATATATCATAGAAATGAATTGTTATATCCTAGATTATTGCCTTAACATAGGTGAGTGACGATTCACGGAATATCACGGGTACGTTACGACTTACACGGAAAATCGCGTTACGACGTAGGAACGGAATTCTGCCGTAAGTCGAGGAACCCCTGGATGTAGAAGATGGCCGTAAAAATGATCAAAGATAAAGAAAACATTTTAAAATTGTTGAATAATGGGAACAAAGGTGTCACACATTAAAAATGGGAAATTGAATACATTAGCAAGATAAGAACTAAAACACCTTTACAGGTGTCACAAATATATTAAATCAGTTATAGGCACGATAAATGAATTGAAAATATTTAAAGAACCTGGAGTTGGAAATGTAAATAGAGAAAACAGATTTCCCAGCTGAAATTTATAATGATGAATGTGAAGCTACATTGGATGGAGCAGATGGATTGGTAGAGTTTGTGTCCTTCAGAGAAACAATCAACCAAGATGACTTAGAAAATAACTGGGGAATTAGACTGGGAAATATTTAGATTGTACCATGCCACAGTAGAGTCTGATACCGCGGATGGAATCAAATCACTGCATTCGTCTATTGTTTTCCGATATTCGACTGCCACTCATAGCAGTGTAAATGTACAAGGAGACAGTACGTTGTCATTATTAAAATAATTACATGTTAATATGCGAGTACAATGATTTGCAGTTATACTTATATTGTATCAAGTTAAGGTAGTTTAGACAGAAACGTGTAAATTGTGTAAAGAAAAAGAAATAGTAATGGTAATATTAGCCGTTTCCTTATAAGGAAACACTCGGCTTTCATTAACCGAGCAGCCAGTACTATTGTCGGTTGGAATTTATAAAATCTTTCTTTGAAAACAGTTTTTTCGGAAAAATAGATTTCTCAAGTTCCTATTGATAGGAGTTTCCTCCCTAACCTTTTATTTGAAATAGCGTGGAATATCATTATCTTGATTATGTAGTTACTTTCTCTTCGTTGTTGCTCATGTTAAAATTGCTCGAGTGATGCGGATTCTGTTATTTGGTACATTCCATGCTTTATGATTCTGTAGCGCCAATCCACGAGATTCGAAGAAGTGTAGTCTTCAGTAACACACACAGGCTTCACTCGTTCAGAACTATTTTAACCATTGATCTCAGAAAGCGGTTGTATGCAAGTGACAGTTAAAATATTTCTGAATGGGTTTGATGCCATGCATGACATCCATAGGAATGTCGAGCTGACGAGATTATTTAAAAACATGTCTCGAGTTATCAGGTTTTGGTTTTGTAACAATTTGCGGTTTGAGAAAGACTATCCCAAGTACAGCTTATTCTATATTCAATTTCTTTATATCCTATATTAAATTCGTTATAATTGATTCACACACCAAGGTAATTGACGTTTAGTATTCATTAATTCCAAATCCTGAATTTTTTATGATGGATTAAGAGTAGGTGCCAACAATGCTTTCATTCCAATTCCAGATTATTGTTGATGTCTTACACAATTTTATATTGAGTCTTATTTCTTGGAACACTTGGTTGAGTATGTTAGAGAATGTTGGTTCTAATGAAGTAGCAATGAAGAAGCGAATCCAGTAAAGGATTGTTGATTGATTGAATTGTTTCTCTTACGGCCTCTTTATGGCTTGTTAACCGAAACATATTATGGAATGTAAGAATAATTCTTTTTTGCAAGTGAATATTCCATTAAGAATTTGTTTAGAATAACCGAGATTTTTGTAGATATAAGTTCTACTTTGCAACCCATATCTGAAGGATTCATATGTTTCCCAAGGCTATTTGCGTGTAAGTGAATGTAATGAACCCAACTGGAATTCGAACTCCGAGCCACTATACATTACAACACGTATCCCTATCCAGTCAAGGAAGTGTAGGGGGTAGAAAATGAAATGTATATAGTAGAATAATAAAAAGGGAGAGGTTTTATATGAAATGCATATGACAAGTGAAAGATGCAAATGGGAGTTTTAATAAATATCAAAGCTAGAACGACTAACAAGAGAAAGAAATTAAAAAAATATAAAGAAGTTAGGGAAACAGAGAACTGATTGATCCATTTTCTACAGTTTATCAACCCCTTGCAGGTTATTTAAAACCGGAAAATATTTTTAGACTGTAAGAAATATTTTAATAGCAACTGCTGTGATGAGCTATTTTTTCTGATGCCCCTAATAGATGAATTTAAGCGTTCTACTAGATTGGCATCTAAGGTCACGCATGATTACTGCTGAAACATCTACATGCAACTGCCACTTCTATTCCAACAGTTTTGTTTCTCGCACTTCCCGCAAGTGGAATTCCTTTCCGCTTTCTTGCTTCCATGATAAATAAAATCTTCAAAAATTTAAACACAACATCAATCGCCATCTTCTATCTTCTAGAATCCCGTTCATCTTTTGTCCTTTCCTCACCTCCCCACCCCGTATACTCAGTCTTTTTTCACACTTTCATTCCCTGTAAACACCAAGCGTACTAGTAGAATTTTACCTTGCTTAGGATGAAATGATTAAAAAAGATTATTTTTTTTCTAATTAATTTTTACTAATTAACCCATAACACGGGGAGAAAGGTATTCATAGATTTCCCAACAGTATTTGCTCGTAAGTGAATATAATGAAACAAAGTGGAATTGGGACTCGGTACTCCGATTAACAATTCCGTGCCATTATCTATTTGCACCACCCGCATATCCAAGCTTACAGCACCTGATATTCCCAGCCAAAGATGAGTTGGAGGAAAGAAAGAAAATGAAAGAAACGAACTTGTTCCAAATGTTGCAAGTGTCTGTAAAAGTCAGCGAAATGCACTCTCCAATTATTTTCACTAATTTGCAAATGAATTTTACAACTTGAGCCCAGACTCAATGACCTAACACCTCAAATTCTCATCCCCATTGATATGACACTATTTTTTTTTCTTAACACTTCTAAGTATATTTTTTTCTGTTTTGCCAAATCTGTCTTTGTTTAATTCAACATCTCTTCGTACGTTGGTCAAATGGTCTCATCTAAATCCAATCCGCTTGATTATTTTCCCTCCCCTCTCTGACTTTCTGTTGTTTAATAGATGGCGTTCATTGTTTCCTGAATCGATAAATGTCCTTGTAACTTAGGTACACACTATGGCAAATTGAAACAGCTGTTCCATATTTGATGTCCTCTCTCTGTTCACATATGGGAATTGTTTATTCGAAAATAGTTCTCATATAATTTAATCCCTGAATTTGAAGTGAATTTTCTTAAAGAACGAACCATTAATAAACATCGGAACGTCAGGACAGCTACAAATTAATGATATTTTAATTCAATCTAACGATTGAGTTAAAAAATAAGCAAGGAATTTTATTTTCAAATAAAACTTGTTTACATTAAGAATAAATATTCTAAAAACGTTAAACTTGATTTATGTAAAATAAAATTAAGTTTTCTGTTTTTAATATGTAAGTAAAGCAAAACTGTGAAGTAATGAATTTGATTAAATGAAGCTGGAATGTTAAAACTTAATTTGATTTTATTTAATTACAAGTGAATAAGCTCAAATCGAAATTCAAAACTTGCTTTTAAGAATCTAATTAAATGAAAATTAACAGAAAGGACAATATAATAAAAACCAAAACCTTTATGAAAATTGGTAAAAAAAATTAATGTGAAGCTGTTCTTTTAAAATCTTGCTTACATTCGAATAAAATAAGATTCCAGTGAAATTAATGATTTTGCCAAAATATTGATAATCTAAGGAAATAATCAAAACATTTCAACAATTCTAGCCACAAAAATATCCTGCTAAAATAAATTTTGAAAGGATTGCAATATTTATTTTCTTATGTAAATTGATTGAAATCAATTATTTTAAAACTATAAGAATTATCTTTATTTGATAAATGACAACATATTATCTTCTTATATATTAATATTAAGTTGTATTTCTTTTGGATTTTAATCCTTTTTAATTTGAATCATTTAAAATATTTTTTTGGTTATAATTCTAAAAGAATTATTCCAAATGGACATTTTCGTATTGAAGATATAACAGCAAATATCTCAACATCGAAACCCATTATACTTAAGCAATTATTTGGATTTTATTTGTAAAACATGGATTAATATTTTAACGTACGTATATAAGCAAACAAGAATAACTCAATCTTGCATTTTGTTCTTCTTCACAATCCATTTTCCATGAGTCAACCAAGGGTTAATTGGATTATACATTCGTCAATACAATTGGCTTCCAAAAACGGAAATTGCTTATAACTCACCATAATATGCTGAATTTATTAACAGGTATCACAGATTGTTTAAAAGACGTTGCAAATAAAGGTAATTTAGCATAAACTTATTTTTAATTATATTTAAATTTTCATTGTACCAATTCCTTTCTACAAGGGTAAAATTATCTAAAACACATATAAGCGAACAATTTTAGAGTAGATTATATTTCACAATGAGGTCTATAAGAAAGTTAACAATAAATTACAGAAATATTTAACGTTTCTTAAGCAATATTTGATAGGTATTAATGAATTCAATTGATTTATCTTAATTTTTTCGGGAGATAAGATTTTATTTGTATTTATTTTTTATTAATGCTCCAGTTATTTATATCGAACACATTATGTTAGCCTCCAGTAATACATTGGTCGAAGGCATGTTTTTTGGCGAAAAGCAATCTAAGTTTTATATTTATATATATATATATATATATATATATATATATATATATATATATATATATATATATATATATATACTGTACTGCCAATTAGATCAGGGCTACAGGAATGTAGGACGCCCATGGCTAAGATACAGAGACAAGCTGAAAAGCAATTTGTCAGCAGTCAATATACCACATAACACCCTTGAGCGCTTAGCCTTGGAGCGAGTAGAATGGAGATCAACGTGTTT